TAAATATTTCGTGTGAAACAGAAAAACTTCAATGCAAGGGACTGAGAATGTCTTTACCTTAAAATAGCATATAGCACAGCAACTGTACCTCTTGAATGAGGAAAGCAGCACAGGCAGTTCCAGGACTGAATGAGTGCCTAAAGGCATCTTTATACAGCTCACTGCTGTGTTCTTTCCTTTAAATGAGACAGATGAAATGAATGACATGGCCATTTAATCAGAACCCTTTGTGAAGGATAATACACACTGCAAAGTATGGTGAACTTAAAAATGTGATACTGACTTCAGATTTTCCTGTTATTTCTTCATTCTGGATTCTAGTTTTTGTCAAACTACTTGTATCTAACATAAGTTGGGTAGATTCCTCACCTGAATGCATTTGGTATGATTCAAAATGCTTGGCTTAGATTTACAGGTGCCACCATGGAGTTCAAAAGTTTGGTGTTACAGTACTCTTTTTAGAAGTACTTTGGTACTTTTTACCAACAATAGGACCATTAGAGAGTATGTAAAGTAAAAGCTTGTGTCTCTATACAAAAATCACCCTTCTCCAAGCTTAGGTCAGTAAAATCACTGTCAGCCAGTTATTTGTATTTTAAATATGGTGTCTTCAAGTCTGAGTGAAAAGGAGCATTTGAAAAAAATCTGAATTTTGTTTCTCTTTGTAACATCAGTATTTGTAAAATATTAAGTTGTATTTAAATGCAAAATGAAATTAACAATAACAGACCTATAGAAAATGCTATTCACTGGCTTTCTGTAAATAAGAAGTCTTCAGTCAAGGTGTTCCAACCTCTGCCAACATGTGAAGAAGTGTGACAGCTCTTGTGACACTGTCTTTCATCTACAACATAGCTGTCACAATTAATTCTCGCACCATTCCTTGATCTAACTCAGAAAGACAGCATTCATTTTGTTAATGCTGAAGCAGGTTTCTGTGTGTGGAAAGACAACACAGGATACATTTTAATAACCTGAATATTCAAAATAAGTTATTACTCACTATCATGCTGAGCTGTCATATCAGATTTAACATGTTCAGATGAAAAGGTAATACATTAGTCACCTTTCATACTACAAATACCTATTATTTCTAGTTGGTAAATGATAAACACTTAACCATATTCTGCCAGCTCTGCTTAAAAAAAAACATAGAGGCTAATGCTACTGAGATCTGATGTCTTAACCCTTCTTGCATGCTTTCTAGAAATGATTACTTTCTTCCTTTCATCTCATTCTCCATTTTCTTAAGAAAATTGCAAATGAGACATAACATTTACAAGAAAAAGTGTTTGATGTAGGCTAGGGAATCAGCAAAATAAACCTGCACAGTTCTGCTATTAAGAGTCTGAATTGAATGATCATCCCATCACTCCAGTTCTGCTTACAGGAGTTCCCTAAATTTTCAGCAGTACTGAACTGCTGCAGTTGTACTATATATGGACAGGATTTAGACTGCTCAAAAGTGAAATGAAGTTCAGCAAATCCGTTAATTCACAGTGCTCAACAGTGTATTCTTTCATGTTTTCTAAGGAATTTCTACTAAATGGTTTAAAGATTTTTAGTGTGACTCGGGGTTTTGTCACAAATTTTCCTTTCATGAGCCTCACTGGTTTAGCCTCTGTAGGCTGCTCTTTTCCATTAAAGAGACTTGTCATCTATTTGATAAATAGGTGGGCATGACAACTATTCCAAATAAACACTGGTCCTTCCCCTCCAGAATTCAGAGGTGTGCATTAAACAGCTTGGTAAGAAATGCATCAGTGAGTTGTGGTGTGCTTCTGTTTTGCAAGGGGAAATAACAATCTACAACTTCATTTTTGAAGTTGCAGTCTAATAACACTCAGATTTTTCTTCAGGTCAGAGCCAGCAATATCTGTAATTTTAGCAATAGCAGCTGGAAGAATGGAATCTCTTTACTGATTAATCACACTGTCTGAATGATATATTGTTTCCTGAAATTTATTTTATTCTCTAGAGCTTTTCTTAGTGAAGATTTACACAGAAAATGGTTAGAAATAGGGTTTATGCAATAAACTCATTTAGACAAATGTTTATATGCAGCTGTTTCCTCTCATCCCCTCTCTTCTCCATTTACCTATGCTTGTTCTTCCCCGATCCACATTTATTCCTCCCTGTGTCCATCCCCTAAGCATCTTGTAAGTTTTCCACATACACACAATCCCCTTAAAACATGCCATGTTTTACACAATCCCAAGTTTCTTTGTGCTGCATTGCAGCAACATCTGCCCTGTGCCTGCATACTGTCCTTTTAGGCAGTAATGACCATTAGCATGCAGGACATCAGAAACCTGTGGCTGAAGCGTTCTCCTTCGATGGTCTTCAGGGCAGCAGATTCATTGGCATCAGTTCTCCACTGATTAGGTTACTTTGGTTGCACTATCTATCATTGTCCTTTTGATCATCACCAGATCTTTGTTTTTAATTTGATTAGTCTTTAGTCAGATAACCTAAAGCCAGTAAAATTCACAATAAAATTTACCTGGTTTAGGCCAAAAAATTTATTTTCATCATTAGCTTCTTTTCTTGGAATTTTTTATCCTAAGGACTTTCCTTGACCCTGTAAAATAATTCAGAAAGGAGAACACAGCATACAATTTTATCTATATAATGTCTTATCCATTTTTTATTCCTTATAGAAAGGCACTAGGCAGTGTTCCTGCCTAGTTTTGTCCCTTATGCAACTTAAACTATTCCAGCTACTTCTAAACTTCCAAGAAAATCACAGAATAACGTAGATGAAGCTGTAGTAAAGCTCCATGTGTGCTCTATCTAAGACAAAGAGTAATTTAAGGCATGATTTCATGACTGGTTTAATTTGCCATAAATGCATACTCCCTGACTCACAAGGTTTTAAGGTGACTAGGCAGATAACTGAGTGATGCATTTTCACACAGATCCATTCCCTGCGTCTGGCTGAATACTGAATACTCCCCTTCTGTAACAACAGCAGCAATCTAGGCTTTGTGCTTTTTATCTTATTAGTGGGAAGGATGACAAAACCTTTCTAAAATCTACATATGGATTCATATTATCTTGAAATTTGTTATGTATTTAGGGGTGGAGAACAATGTTTGGCAGTTCAGAAAGCACATTAAAGGGAGTTTCTGGCTCAAAAGTGCAAGATCCTTGAGTTTATGTTTTGGGGGTTTTTTAATATGAGGGAGTAGTAATGTGTATATAAAACTGCCTATTTTTATTCTTTTCTTCTCCATCCTTGAGATTCCAATTATTGTTTTGACCTTCCTGAAACTGACTTCATTCACTCAGAATCTGTCTGATGCAAAACTCCCTATCATAAAATGAAGCAAGATGTAAAAGAAGTTCTATCTATGTAGTGGACTTGTCCAAATAGTGTGTAATTAGGAGGGAAATAGTTATATGCAGTATGAGATAACAGCACTCCAGTAACTAAGGTATAATACAAACCACTACTGCTACCAATAATAATGATAAGAGGAATAACAAGGGGAGAGGACACAACCACTCACCACCCGCCGACCGATACCCAGCCCGACCCGAGCAGTGATCTGGGCCTTCCGGGTAACTCCCCCCAGTTTCTATACTGGGCATGACGTGCTGTGGTATGGAATAGCCCTTTGGCCAGTTTGGGTCAGGTGTCCTGCCTCTGCTTCCTCCTGGCTTCCCCTCCTCTCTGGCAAAGCATGAGACTGAGAAAGTCCTTGGTCAGAGTAAACATTACTTAGCAACAACTAAAAACATCGGTGTTATCAGCATTGTTCCCAGACTGAAAGTCAAAACCACAGCACTGCACCAGCTACTAAGAAGGAGAAAAAATGACTGCTGTAGCTGAACCCAGGACAATGACAAAGACCTTCATGCAAGCTACATCACATGTTGGGTAATTGTATAGTTCAGCGAGATGTGCCATAGCTATCAAACCTGAACTAATAAATAAATGCTGTAAATTAAGTCCTATATTTGGTAGGTTTTAGTGCTTGAGTTCTCACTTCAGAGACTTTCTGTGCTCATATATCTGCTGATTACTGTGTCTGGGGTGAAAACAATATGTAAAGTGATCTCTGTTAATATTAAGTAAATAGAGAAAACAAATTGATAAAAAGCAAATACTTTTGTGGGACTGTTGAATTCCTTCACTTTTCACAGCCTTTTTCTTACAGAGCTTTCAGTAAAGCTGAATTTGACATTTGGAAAGGGCACAAGATGCTTCTAGGCAAGCTTATCTCCTCATTGCTAAATTCTGGGAAAATTAATATTTACTGCATGTGCCACAAATTGTTGTTTATTCTGTGTGAGCATCTTGTGCCTCTGGGCACTATGCATGTATGAATGGAGGCTTTGCAACATGTTTGTGGAAGCAGGTTAAATGAGTCAGTTTTTTTATTGTTAATTTTTGCCACTATATAAGAAAAACTTCAATTCACTAAATACTCTGTGTCAAATTGTAAGTCCGACTGTTGTATGAAATGCCTATTCGTTTTCTAGATAGTTTTAGGGAAGGTTGATTTATCAAACAAGTCTCCAAACAGATGAAACAAAACCCAGAAATGCCACTATTTTGTAGATTGCCAGGGATATACCTATGTCATTACTTACATTTTGAAGTTTCCAGAAACTACTAAATATTCTCTTTCAATTGAGGCAGGGAAGGTCAGTTTGTTTGCTTGGTTTTTACTAATATTAGAGGTAATTACATTGCTGACAACTCTGTATTTGCTATTATTAGCAATATAGAATGAATATTTAATAAGGTACATGCAAATTATAATTATTTAACATAATTTATATTATGGCAGATATGTTAACTAAATTTGCATTTAGTTTCATGTATAATCGTGATCTGTTACTCAGGAGAATATAATAGTTAAATACTTCTGTACAGTGTTTCAAGATTAATTGCCTTCAACCTTGAGCCTTCTTAATTCTACCCTTGTTTTTAGTAATCAAAAATACTAAAGCTATTTTTGTTTTCTCTTTGTTAAACTCTTTGCACTTAGCAATGTAGCAAGAAAGCATCAGCTTCATTGATGTGGATTCTGAAACCATCTGGAATAATTGCAAACCGTCCTTGGCCTCGGATCACTCTTACATTGACAACCACTGCTATAATATTAACTATGGCTGTATTCAACATGGTAAGGCGAAAAGAAGTATTTTTTTCTTGTTTGTTTTGTTTTGTTCAGTATTTGTTGAGATGTCAAATTTATGGCCCATGGCTGTGCCAGGAACCTATATGATAATGATTGCCAGGGACAAAAATTTAAAGCAGAACAACAGAAAACATATAACATATAATATATAATGGGGACCTCTGCAAACATGATGCTCAGCAAGAGCTCAGATTCTGGCTAAGTTTATTTAAAAAATACATAATTTATGAGAAATTAAAGGTAGTTAAATCCCAGGCTTGAATTGTTCAAATACTTTACTTGTCTATGCATTGCTTAGAAAAACAGAGTATTGCTCAGAGAATGAAGTATCTCCTTCACAGGATGTGGGGAAGACTGCGAAACTATCTAAGCTTTATCCAGATTTGTAATTCTCCTCTGCTGATCACAAAACAATCATAATTTAAATATGATTGAATTTCTTGTGCTTGTCTTTTTTTCTTTTTTTTTTAAAGTTGAATAAGTCAAAGTTACATCAAAACTTCAAAATACCAATCTACAAATTTGTTAGGGCTTTCCTCTAGTTTGGCCATTTTAACCTGTGCTTTTCTTTTCTGCACACAATCTGTGTAATTTTATTATTCTTTTGTAACTACAGCAAATACAGAGTAGATCTGTCATAATCTGCCTAAATCCTTAATCTTAATGTCCTCGCTTATTCTGAAAGATGTGTTGGCTAGTAGGATGAGCAGTATGTGTGATCAGAAAACTTCCTTTGCTTTGTCCTCTTGGCTGAGCCTGATTCTGTTTGTAAATCTCTGAAACCTGAGTGTTCCAGCTCAGTTCTGTATCTGCAAAATGGGAACTGTAGTATCTATTTAGGTAATGTTTTCATTCCAACATCAGTGCATAGATATTAGTCACATTTTAAGTGAGTGAGATTTGCGCTTCAGCACTTCCTTTGAGTTGCTGGTACTTCTGTTATTTGAGGTTCGTAAAGGACTCAAATGTTGGTAATACCTACATTGTTTAATTTGTTTTCCCACTACATTTCAGGGGAACCTTACTCAACCATTGTTACAGTAAGTACTAGACTTGTCAGAACAATGTAATGATGTTCTGTGGGCTTTCAGATATGAACACTTGAAATTTCTGGTGAACTTTTTCTCCATTTTGTCTATTAAATGATCCTAGTTTTGTTTTTGTTGTTTTTCTTTTCAGAAAAGTAGGTAGTTTCCTTTCTTTCTCCTGCGTTTTTTTGTTTTTTTTTTTTAGGGAGAGGAGATAGATTCCAAACAATTCCATGTTCAAAATTTACAATTCAGCTAACTGAATTTGATATTTAAGGTTAGCAGAGGAAAAACTCAAAGAAATAGTGGCTGGAAATGAGAAAATAAGACCACTTTTCATCAGTGAAGGCAGTAAGCAATGGAAACAATTATTCTTAAAAGCTGTTGATTTTTCATCACTTCTTGTCCTCAGCTGAAGACTGTATGCCTTTAAGAATCATAACCTTTAGCCAAGCAAAAATTCTTTGGCATACTACAGGAAAAATCCCAGAGATGGAGTTGCTTGTAAATTGGAGATTACATTAGACTTTCTCTTATTTTGAACACTACAAATATATAAGAAGAAATGAAATAGCCTGTTTCAGTTTAAAGCATACTTTGAGTTAGAGTTCGTGCAACCATATTAAGTTAAAAAGTGTAAAGGAAGAAATGGTCAGCAACTGTGTTTTTCTTAGACTGAAGTTCTACTATTGTGTACAGCCCACTTCAAATTTGGCCTTCAGCTAGTAAAAGACATTCTAGCAAAAAAGCAGTTGTTTAGGATATCATTTTTAGAAAAAAGATTTTCATTTTATTGGTTCATGTCCATTTTTATGTGGACTAAGTGTTACAGTAAAACCTAATAGGCTGTATTTTAGTCTTTGTACCTTATCAGTAGTGACTGCAGTGTTACAAATAATAATGTTCCATGATATTCATGAGATGATAATTTTAAGTACAATTCCCACCTTGAAACTAAACCTTAATAGTTTGACTAGCAAAATTACTTTAAATGTGATTGTGAAATTTGCATTTCCTTAATATTAATAGCAAATTGTGGGAGAGACTCTGAAGTATCATTATTATATCTCCAAGCAACATGTACTTAATAGCAGAGTCCATTAACTGCATTTATTTCCGTGAACTCTTTCAGTAGAAAAAGGCGAAATGTAGCCATTAAGATTTAATGGAGATAAAAAGCGTCTAACCCTCCCACACCTAATAAATCATAATTAAGATCAAAATGTCAAATAAAACTCAGCCTTTATGGTCAAGGGACACTAGAAAAGAGTGGGGGTGCAATTTTATTTCAAATTAGCTGTTTCAGCAGACATCTGAATCTAATCTTCACATCTGAGACGTATATAATCATGATCAGTGGAAGGAAGTTAAAAACCAGGTAATGTAACATAAATATCAAATACTACTTAGCTGAAGGGAGAGGGTGACTAATGTTGCTTCCATTGAGAATTAGATCTGGTGCTATATATAGACTAGGGCAACAATAAGTGGCTGAGGTATAATGTTTTTGTGAAGCTGGCCTGTATTAAACTGAGTATGAGAATGTATACTGCAGGGAACAATCCAGACATCTCAGAGAGACAGTAGGGACTGCATGACTGCAAAGGGTTAATTCTTGGAAGCTAAATGAATGACTGTATACAGTACGTCAAATGATTGTACTTCACCATCCTCTGGGATTCGTGTGGTCTTGAGGAACATGGAATGATAAAAGAGACCTGGAACAGCTCTTTGTTTCAGTGATTTCTGCATCAAATGTATGAATGGTTCTTGGCACAGTGACAGGATCTCAGGGCTATACTTTCCCAGGAAGGTGCCCAGACAGGATCATAGAATCATAGAATAGTCAGGGATGGGGCATCCGCCACCTCTCTGGGCAACCTATTCCAGTGTTTCACTAGGGAATGAATGATCCAGAATTGGGGATTCTCTGTATTATTCTTGGGGTGTTTATGTGGGGATCTGGGAATAAATTCCTGATGCAGCTGCCAGCCCAACTGTCAGGAAGGAAGGAATTCACATCACTGCTTCAAAAGAAGCAGTGATAGGCGTTTTGAGAAGGAAGTTCTCATAAGCTACACAGATATTTGGAGAGTTGGTAGAAAAATTAAAAACAAGAGGAGTCCTGCATGTTTGCCTTACAGATTTAGGCAAAAGAGCAATGCTGAACAAAAGTGTCAGTGCTTCTTTGTGTTAAGGAAAATGTAAATCCTCTAGTTCAATGTATGATACCTGACTTCCATGCTTCTGCCATACATAAAAGCATACTCTCCTCACTCTACATTCTGCTGAACTAGATAGAGTAGGCTACATGAAGGACTTTGTTTACAACAGCTCTTTAAAAACTGTAGACCACTGTGTCTTGAGGAGATTGCATATCTCTTCTGGAACGTCAGAAAATTAATTTAAAGTATAGTTGTATGTTCATATGAGGCAAGGAGAAGTGTTGAAGTAACTTAGTGAGAAAGTTGTCTTTGTTTTTAGTAAGATAAGGGTGACCTTATAGCTCTGTACAACTACCTGAAATGAGGATGGAGCGAGGAGGTGGCTGATCTCCCAAGTAACAAGTGATAGGACAAGAGGTAACAGCCTCAAGCTGCACCAGAGGAGATTTAGGCTTGATATTAGGAACAATCTCTTCACTGAAAGGGTCGTCAGGCATTGGAACAGGCTGCCCAGGAAAGTGGTGGAATCACCATCCCTGGAAGTGTTCACAAACCGTGTGGATGAGGCCCTTAGTGACATTGTTTACTGGTGGGCTTGACAGTGCTGGGGTAGAGGTTGGACTTGACGATCTTAAAGGTCTTTTCCAACCTAATTCATTCTGTGATTCTGTGAGTCTATGATCTAAACCCGTGTATTAGTCTTTTGCAGATTTGTGGTCAGATATCAAGGGATTTACACAAACTTGCTTCTCCCATGCTGTGGGGGGAGGGTCTGTCACCACATGGCTCCTATTGAAAGAAATGGCACAGCAGGTATTTTCATCACGTGAGGCAAAAAACTCACAACTGAAGATTGCAGATGATACAAACATAAGAAAAGAAAAAGCTGTTAGAATACATGAAGTTAAAATGAGAATTTAATGGTAGTGTGCTCAGATGTTCCCTGGCAAACATTGGTATTCATAAAAAATATTGCTGTCATTTCAGTCATTTGAGTAGGTGTGACTGCTTAGCAGGACTAAGCCGTCTCTTACAGAAAATACTATGTTGAAGAACAATACATATCTCCAAAGCGTGATATCAAATGTAGGTAACTGATGAGAGACAAGAAAGACAAGTACAAACACATCATTCAGAAATAAGTGTTGTTTGGCTTACGGGAGATGATAACGTTTCTGTATCTTTTTCCCCTTTCTGTATTTATTTATGTGTCCACAGATAAACCACATTTCATATAGCATTCTGTGTATACAGGTAATGTTTAAAGGTCACAAATGCCCTGTACAAAGCTCAAAACCAAAATTCAAATACTTTAATATAAATTAATATATGTAAATATACATACACATATGTTTATATAATTGTGTTTGAGTTCTTTATGGTATATAATCTTTTGCTCTGTGGACATACATGGGATGGGATTCTGAAACAAAATACTGTTATTTCATGTTTGCAAAAAAAAGGAAATGCACTATTAGTGGGATGTCTGAACTCTCTTTGAGCACCCTTGGCAAATGACCTGGTTAAGAACACCTATAAAGATGAGAATATTGGGGGCAGGGAGGGTGATTAAATACTTAAAGCTGTCTGCAGGGCCTTTGCCCAGAATTGTTCCTGATAAAGAGGAAGACCAGCACCAGCTGGGTTAAGCAGTAACCAAGAAGGATTTCTGAATTAAAGAAGGAAGTAGTGTAAGAAATAGCATAAAAGCAGCACAGACATTTGTAACAGGAGGCAGAGAGACCTGAGTGGAAACAGCTGCTGACAAAACCTGGTTTGACACTACCATCAG